GATCTGATCTTTGAACCTGATCGCTTAACTTTATTGATGACTGCTGCTTAGTTATTATGTAGTCAACTATTGATTGCAGTTTTGTAGTGGGATGGGTCCACGTATGTGTATTTCTTTATGTAGAAAATAGCCATTCAATATTTTATGATCATGTAGTTCACATGTCTCTATAAGTCTTTCTCCAGTCATTTAATACATTTTCACCAAATCGTCCCAAAACATTATTCACTATTCCTTTTCCAACTCTTCCGTTAAAATCATTCATAATATAATTTTTATCAACATTTTCATAATATTATTTTTATTAGATACCTTGCTTTTTACCCCTGTACTAGGACTATTGTAGGTTCTTAGGGTTAAAAGGATGTGAGAAATCTTTAGCCTTCTCTAGTTATTACCACAGAACAATAAAGGACGTTATTACCCACTTCCATGGCCCTCTGTACAATTCTTATAATGGGTATTTCAAGATGGTCTTATTATGTTTTTGTAAGTGGATGGCATACATCATGCTTGAACCAGATACTTTTGAACCAATATTTACTGTTAACAAAGACAGTAAATATTGTTATTCATTTGGAAAGAAGGCTGAGTTGACCTTAGGACCGCTCTTAATTTTCCATAACTGGATAAAAATCCTCAGCTATTCTGGGATTTTAATCCTCTTAGATTAGCAAACATGTCCTAACCACTCTTTGCTGCAACCCACACCATTCCCTCATGAACAATACTTAAGGGTAACAATTGGTCATTTTGTGACTTATGTGATCCCTTCAAAAATATTAAATTTAATTAAATTAAATTAAATTTAAAAAATTCGCATATGTGAGAAAAATGTTTCAAAAAAGTATTATGAAGATAATATCTTTTTAAATAGAATAGTTTTGAAGTGCAATAAACAAGGGTTTAATAACACATTTGTCATTATGTACATTAAGGGAATTTGAAACAAGTAGTAAAGTGTTTCTAGAATTGATTTAAGTTAAGACTTGAAACTCCGTTTAAGACTCAAAAGAAAGATTAGGGTACATAAAATCTCTTGTGCGAATTTCAGCGCTGTAGCTTGAATAGTTTAGGAGATATAGCCATTTGAAATTGACTATTATCGTGAGAGCGTTGAGAATTCGAAAATACAGGGCTTTCAATTTCCTAGAAGCCACATTTCTCAACCGTATATGACAAATTATGATATTTTCTGAAACTACATGTATTTAGAAACACATCCGTGTTTCTAGAATTGATTTAAGTTACATAGTGTGGGGGATATGCTGGTTTCTAATTTGTGATAAAAATTGTAAAGTTTCGTCGATCCATGGAACGACGAAATTTGCCGATTTCAGGGTGCCGACGTCAGGGATTTTTCTGAAAACCACATTCCTGGCAGGAATTTTAAGTCGAATACCCATTTTTCAATTAGAAGCTTAGTTCTTCAGAAAATCGCAAAAGTATTCCTACAAACGTCAATTTCTTCCAAATAGAGGAGTAGAAAAATGCATTTTTGAGAAGTTCCTGTTTTCAGGCGAAACTCCATTTAAGACTCCAATAAAGACTAGAGTACATACAATTTCGTGTGTGAATTTCAGCGCTGTAGCTTGAATAGTTTAGGAGATAGAGCCTTTTGAATTTGACTATGCGTTTATTTTTTAAGCGTTGAGAATTCGAAATACAAGGGTTTCAATTCAAGGTTCTCAGAGAGCATATTTCTAATCCTTTAATGACAAACGATGACATTTTCATAAAATACATGCATTTTGAAACACGTTTGTTTTTCTAGTATTGATTTTTGTTGCATAGTTTGTGAAATATGCGAATTTCTTTTTTTAGTTAAAAACTAAAGGTTTAAAATCGCAGTTAAAATAATGCATTTTTAAGACGATTATTATTAAAACAGAAGTTTTATTTAGAACTTAAATTAAAGAGTAGAGTACGTGCTACCTATTGTGTAAAATTCAGCTCGATTAGTTTAGGAGATAGATCCTTTTGAATTTGACTATTATTTTTAGAGCGTTGATAATTCGAAATAAAGGGGTTTCAATTCAAGGTTCTTAGAAGGCACTTTTCTCATCTGTTTATGCCAAGCGATATCAATTTCATAAAATAACAATTTTGTAACATGTGAGTGTTTCTAGAATTGATTGTTGTTGCATAGTTTGTGAAATATGCGAGTTTCTTTTTTGAGTTAAAAACTGAAGGTTTTAAATCGCAGTTACAAATATTGTATTTTAAAGCCGGTTAGTATTAAAAGAGATCCATCATTTAAGACTCAAATTAAAGGGTAAAGTACATATAATCTTGTGTGCGAATTTCAGCGCTGTAGCTTGAATAGTTTAGGAGATAGAGCCATTTGAAATTTATTATTATTTTCAGAGCTTGCAACACGCAAAAATACAAGAATTTCAATTTAAGGTTCCTAGAGGCCACATTTCTCATCTGTATACGACAAAGGACGACATTTGTTATACATATACACACACACACACACACCAAAACCCACACACAGATATGTATATATATATATATATATATATATATATATATATATATATATATAACGCAAATAGTTTTGACCTATGAGACATCTCCCCGTGAGGGAAGGGGCAAAGCTACGGTCCCAGAGACGTTTTCGGGAGGGGGAAGCGAAGGCGAGCTCGGGGGGGAACGGAGTAGAGAAAAATATTATTAGGGAGAAATCGTAGGAGAAATGAGGTGCCTCTAACATTATTAGGGAAAAATGGTAGGAGAAAACGTGGTTCTAACATTATCAGGGAGAAATCGTAGGAGAAAAGAGGTGGCTCTAACATTATTAGGGAGAAATCGTAGGAGAAAAGAGGTGAGTCTAATATTATTAGGGGAAAATTGTAGGAGAAAAGAAGTGGCTCTAACATTATCAGGGAGAAATCGTAGGAGAAAAGAGGTGAGTCTAACATTATTAGGGAGAAATCGTAGGAGAAAAGAGGTTGCTCTAACATAATTCGTGAGAAATCGTAGTTGCATCGCACCTTGTTGAATGCTATCTTCTCGGCGTAAGCGAAATCGCTGGTTAGAGGCCAGTCTAACGTCATGACGTATCCGGGAGATAATGTTAGAAGGAACACGCCTTCAGACGGCGTATAGAGCAATACTGGTTGAATGACTAAGGGGTTCATGTTGCCATCTTTATTGTTGTAGCAGGTTACTGATTGTTGACGGTTTTAGAAATGGGTTATGCATAGATTTGCCTCTTAATTGAATATTCATTACATACTTTTCATCCAACAACATATGTGTACACAACCAGACACCGCAAGAAATGGAAATTGGAAAATTTAATTTAACAATACAATACACCCACTGCCTCAAAAGCTTATATCTTGCAGACTCATTGTTGTAATGGTACATACGAACAAGTAACATTGCATTGTTGTTGAACAGAACGTTGTAGGCACATATATAATGAATACACCAAAACAGCATGTACCTAGAAACAGAGGCTGGATTCAGGAGGACAACTACCCCCTCCCAATGTTGGGACACATTTAAAAATATATATTTAGACGTTTCGTTTCCCGGATCTTCAAATTTGTATGTATGCGCTTGGCACGACATCCCGTGAAAGGGCTTAGGCCTACCGGCGACGTCCCAGCCTCGCGGCCATGGGTTAACGGGGGACGTAGACATCACGATGCCGCGCCGTATTCCGGCCTTCTCAGCCAGAGAAGTGAATTTTCTCATCGTCACACAGCAACAAATGTACTGAGACATTGCTAGGTAATCGCACCCCGGGCCGTGTGGAAAGCGAGCATGCTGACCAAGAGCTATCTTCAGATTCATATTAAAAAATATTACCATACTTCTATATTTTGAGTACAAATGGTATCACTATAAAGTACTTGGGGCACTGCGAGTGCGCGTGAGTGGGGTTAGACCCCTTCCCGAGCGCGATTCGCAACGCGTGAGGAATCGTTTGTTGCACCTCAGTCTTTGGTGAAGAACTGATCATTTCTTTTCGGATCCGGCCACAAGATTCAAACAAATTTCAAAAAAGCCTGTGTTGGAGCTGTTATCTTAGTGAGTATGCCGGGAATTAAACGAACGCCAGTTACGTTGAATGCGATTAGTGAATCGCCGCGCAGCAGATTCCATTTATTTTTCATCCTTATTAACGTACTTTAAAAAATAAATTTCCAAAAACTTACGAACAATATTGATTCGGAACGTATTGAATTTGAAGGACTTCCTGTAAATAGGGAGAAAACCAATCTGTGAGTAAAACTACAGAAGCACATTACGTTCTTACGTCCTACTTCTCACATTTAGATTCTTAAGCGTGCAAATACCGATTTTCAAATGAATGTGACTAATACCTTATTCACATAAACATACAAAAAAGACCAGGGAGGAATCAAATGTAGTTGTAGACTTTGGGACACAGTTGCACCGGTTACACCGAGTGAATCGGTCCATGTAGTTCTTCGATGTTACGTCTACTCCATTTTGGCGCTAGTGAGTAGTGAATCGACTTCGTGACTCACGAATCATGAGAGAGAAACTCCGGCCTCAAGAATCATTCGTGCAACTTCTTTAAAGTGTTGTATATTGAAGAATTCACTTATAAATTATGGTTCTGTTATTTAATGTACATTTACAATTTATAAACCACAAATAAATGCAGTTATGTAAAAGAAACAACTTACTTCATAAATATTCCATGAGTAATAATACATCTTTCATGCATTAATTATTTATCCATTTCGATGGGAACTTCGGATTAAACGCATATTATGTTTGTTCCTTTCGAGGTGTACTAAATATTCTATGATTTATAAAATGTTAATTACATTATTGATTAAGATCCAGTTTCTCGAGATTTTGAAAGAGCCGCCTAGATTGCTGGGTTCCACCAATCACAGCGCAGACACCGCGACAACTGGTGAACGAGTTCAACGATTCAACCATGATTCAACGAATCAGTCAGCTTTAAAACATTGAGTGAACCTGTGGGGTGACACTAGATAGGGCACATCCGGCCCTTATTCAAATTCCATACAGTAGCCAATCAGAGTTCAGAGCGACGCCATATACATCTGTACAACACCAACTCGCTCAAGCGGAGAATCGGTGAACTACTTTTTCATTTTGAAATTTTTTCGCAAACGAGCCGGTTGGTTACCGTTGGATTCCTTCCTCGTCGACCTATGGTTGTATATTCACGTGCTGTTCGTAAGGATGTTAGCGCCATATCGCAGTCAGTGAATTAGAGAAATAAAGTGATTTACTGCTGTTTGAAGTCTGTAGCGTGCATTTTGGCTTCGAGAAGATGATGGGTGCGTAACAAATAGGGGAATTTTTTTAATCTTCATGTTCAGATGCAGATCCCTTGTTTGGACCAAGCGAGGTGACACCCACTGCAGCAATGGGTGTAATTGGTAGATTTTTTTAATACAATATTACTAAATATTAGTTTTAATAGAATATGGTTTTGTATAGTTAAATAGAATATATAGTTTTGATGGGAGGCTATAGATACCCGCATTTTTTATTTTCAGATCTTGTACACAGGCAAGCTTTCAACTGAAAATGGTAAGTTCTTGTATGTTTGTAAAATTCAAAAAGAAGCTGCTATTGAAAGGCATAATGTAGTTGGCAATAATTTGTTGTTGATTAATACAAGGTTCTAGTGCTGTTGAACATGGCTGCTACAGCAAGTGCAGCAGATGCTTATTCAGCTTGGTGAAAGGTAAATATTTGCTATAATCTTTAAGAATCTCAAATATTACTTTGTTGCATTTCTTGAGATGGGAAGAATTTCAAGTTTGTCTCATTTTTCAAATGCTTTTTCACCCATGTGAGATGTCCCCATCAAGTTTTTATGGACGTTTCTCATGGTATGTTCCTTTCAATATACAGTTATTAGTGCCAATTGAGGGCAAATTATAGTAAATAAAAAACTATTTTTTTAGTGATTACCGATCTTGTACTTCTGGACAGGTGCAAGAAGATTTAGGGAGATGAATCTTGCTCCTTCGGTGTGTGGTAAGTGCACGATATTCCTGTGCTTTCTAATTTCGTAATTCTAGATGGTGAATTAAAAGAACACTTTTTTTTTGATACAATTTGTTTTTCAGAACATTCATTTGATGACATAGTATCGTTCTTAATATCATTTTTTTTGCTTTTCAGATCCTCTTCCAGAGATGGCTTCTGAAGCATGCATATTAGATCCCTACGAGTTTGACCCTAAGTGGCTTTAAATTAATGTTCATTTGAGGAGTCATAACTCAGAGAGATAATTTCAAAGAATTATTGTTATAGCAGTGAATAACTTGCTTCATTGTGCACAAGTTTCTGAACATATTTCTTTTTACGCTGACAGTTTATAAAGGTATGAGCAACGAGAGTTTTAATCAGTGTGTATCTGTCATTCGGTACAGATCCATTGTATAAACTGTATTTCCGATATCTGATTTGGAAAGTTCTAATTAAATAAAATTTAAAGATAAAATTAATTCTGTAAAGCATGATCATTTTCTCAATTTTGGAAAGCCTTTGCTATGTTAAGACACTTTATTTGGATATTATGAATACAAAGGTTTTGAGTTTCTGTTTCAGAGGCTATTTTCATGCAATTTTAGATTTATTAATGGCTATTATCTAGTCTGCAATTTGTTTCTTTCTTATTAGTATTAATTTTTATTATTAGTAATAAATTTTGATATAAGTTGCTTATGTATTGTTATCCTGTTCTGACAATTAATAGTTTCTCATGACAAACACAATCTTGATTCAATTTATATTCTAGTCTGTGTGTATCATTGTGTTTGTTCATCGTCATGCCTATTACATTCTGGATTTGAATGCTGATCCTTATTAGATTGTGAATTGTTGTGAGTCGTGAATGCAATGCTTGTTTCTATAGCTCAGTTATTAGGACATTGCCCTGTTATCAGAAGGTCCCAGGCTTGGCTCCTGGTGCAATCAAATATTTTGCACTTTGCACAATCCACTTTCAAGAATTATTATTAAATTGTAGTGGCACAAGCATTGATGGAATTCCACTATTTTGTTAATCATTGTTTTAAAGGTGAATGTACTTTCTCAGTGGATCCCATTTTAAAAAAGCCAGGCTCTGAACTGGTGCATGTGTGAGATTAGCATGGGTAAATAAAATATGTCAAATATTTATTGATTAATGAAAAAACATTTTTAGGTTGACAACTAGTAAAAGCGGTTCTTTCAAGGCATGCAGAGCATGCTAAAGCTCATTTTTTTTGCACTACTGCTTAAAGTGGGACAATGCTCAAATGTTCTGATAAACTTTTGAAAGCAACAAAGCAAAACAAAATACGTTTCATGTGACCTAATCAGATCAAAAATAAAAATGGCGCTTTTACCCTTGTATCATAACTATTTCTTTTACTGGGCAAGATGTGGGTAGTATTTTCATTTGCTTGCTTTTCATTCTGTTATTGTTTATTCATAAGCTTGTAAGTAATGTAGTATTCTATGTATTAATTGGCTTATATCTACAAGCAAATACTAAGGTGGGGCAATTATGCAAGTGTGTTATTACTTTCTGTAACTCAAAATTGTTATTACTAATGAAATTACGATGTTAATATCAATAGCTCAATAAATACTAGATTTTACTACTAATTTGACTTTTTTCTTCTATAAAATCCTTATAATTATTGTTGTGAATTTTTTATAAATTAAAGGCGTGAAAGTATGGAAGTGAAATTTTAAGCTTCCGCATGCTGGTTAATTCAAATTTACCGGTTACTTCTTCGCTATTGGTGTCCGTCTCATCACCATATAGAAATTATACGAGAATCAATGTGGCGGCACGGAAGTTGGACAAAATAATGGTAGCTTTATCCTTTTAACATTGAGTGCCGTCTCTGATATATACTCTTTGGAGTGAACCGGCCCTGGCTCCCCCGACAGACCAATGCTACCCGTCCCAAACATTAGTGTCTAGGCGGCATTATGACAGACCCTCTTGCGCGAAAAAATAAAAACCCAAATATAGGTAATATAGTCAGGTGAAGTGCCCTTCCTCGCCGTAAAGTAGTTCGCGTTCCTGATTTTTAGTTGTTACAAATTGTTCGTTATTTGTTGATATCAAAATGGAAGGGATTTGTATCTTGGCAGAAAATGTCATAAAGGTGGAAGATGTAAGTAGATTCTCAAAATTTAATTTGCTATTAACGTGGCTGGTGAGATCGTTTATGTATGGTCTAAGTGACGAATAAAATTAGACAAATTATGTTCAATTTCTACAAAGTACAATTTGTATTAACGAAGTTTAAATTTTAATGTGTTCTATGACTTGTGTTGCTGCATATAATGATTCGTGTGTTAAAATAACGCGTTTCCTTTCACTGCTAGTACTGCTTGTTTTACTCTTTTCTAGGTTAAAGAAGAAAAGGTCGTAATTAAGGAGGAATACAACTGGAATTGTGTTGTAAGTTCCAATGTATAGTTTCATTTAGTGTTTAGTTTGTCAAGAAATGTGATGTTGTCTATTGTGACAGATTCTAGGTGTCTTAATTAGAAAAGGCAACCAATCAAAGCAATTTAAATTACTTCGTTTTGCAAGCATAAAAGAGTGAAACTTAATTTGCATCTTGAAAAAAGATTTAAAATGCCATATTTAACCCAGGAGTGCCTGCAATGAATCTCTGAGATCTAAGCTACAGCATTTAAATGTTCCTAACTTATTACTATGCATTAGTCCGATATTTTATGTATTCTTTTATTTGTATTGTTTTGCCAAATCATTTCCTGTGTGAATGTGAGAACTTGATATCTCCGCTGCATATTATGTCAGATACATTGTGTTCATTGGCTGTGTATTGGGAGCTCCTGGCCCAAGTGATACTTAGCATGGCATTATTTTCAGTCGTGTTTTTGACAAGTACCTATTCAGAAAATGTAATCATTTGTCTTATCTACAATCAACTATCACAATTTCTTCACAAAGAGGAAGATGTGCAGGTGACATCTGTAGGGAAATGATAATATGCGAACCTTCAGATTAAAATGGAAAAAAAGAGACAAACTCTACATATTTTTGTGAAAAATGTATGTTTTTTAGAACAAAACCATTTGTGGAAATTACATGTCATATTATTTAATAAGATAATGATATGTTAAGTGATAATTGCAAGTAGTTTGTCAATTTTTAGCTTTCTCATCGTAAGTATTCAGACCAGGTTTCTGCTGTGTAGGACTCATTAACACTAGCATTGAGGGAAATGTACAACCTAAATAACATACACATTTATGTAGAGATTAAATAGAGCTTCAGTTCATTTTGCTCTCACAAAAAGGTGCAGCTATATCTGAGAGATGCATTGCTGGCACAGACACGAGTCTACCTGTTGTGGGCACTCCTAGGTTTAAGCAACCCTGCAATCCATCTTTATAATCTTCGGAATATTCTAGTGAAAGTTCATTCCCACCTGAGCTACGACATTTTATTCTGGGAAATTCATCCTTTGGCTTCCAGACTTTAGGTAATTGAAGACATAAAAATGAAGTTCCAAGCTCGTGATTTTTGTAAGCCTGTTTTTATCGTGCTTTGTGTTCCACAATTGCCTTGCCTCTTTTTTACATACCAGTTGTTTTGTGAAAATTGACTTCTTCATGGGGGGAATATATTTTCATCCTAACTGCTGTCTTTTTAAAACTATAACATTTTTGCATTTTTTAAAACACACTTTATTTTAAACAATTAAAATATATTTGCGACTTAAGTGTTATGTTAAAAATTTTCTGCTATAAAAGTTTTTATAGAAACTATACTGGGCATGGAAGAGGAACATAATATTTGTTTGAACTGTGATATTTAATTTATTTTTATATATTTATTTATTCTACAAAGCCAGTGGGATGTACCCAATGGTAAGCTTATATTTTACAAAGATCAAAACATTTAACAAAGATTTAAGCATGTGCTATCAACTGAAATAAAGCATCTAGTTGCAATAATAAATTGAAAAAATTAACTAAACTCCACTAAAATTAAAAGTATTGATGTTGTGTTACAGTAATAAATGGAAATAAGAATAAGCTAACTTATCAATTGTTATGTGTAAAGTTTATTGCTGCATTGCTTAAAGTCACTCCTGGGTCATCAAAGATAATATTACATTTAGCACCTGTTGTGGGCACTCGTAGGTTTAAGCATCTTTATAATCTTCGGTATATTTTAGTGGATGTTCATATCCATGTGAAATTAATCCTATAGCTTCCAGAAATGAGGTTACAGAAGGTAATTGAAGACATACAAATGAAGTTCCAACCTCCTGATTTTTGTAGGCCTGTTTTTATCATCCTAAGAATTCCACAATTGCCTTGTCCCTTTCTTACGAAACATTGGTTTGATCGAAAAAGACTTCTTCAATGGGGGAATATATTTTATCCAAACCTGCTGAATATATCTATAACATTTTGTGAAGGAATCATATTTATCATCAAGTGTCTTTTAAATGGCTAACTAATAATAATTAACATGTAATAAATGTTCCTTTTTTACAATGCATTTCATTTTTTCAAAACAATTACAATATGTATACGAGTTAGTGTAAAGTAAAACATTTTCTGCACCATAAGTTTCTATAGATAATATACTTGACATCCAAAAGGAAATTATTGGTTTTAACTATGGTATTTATTTTATTTTTATATATTTGTGAATTTATTCTACAAAGCCTACTTAAGACCAAAACATTTAACCAAGATTTAAGTAAGTAATATCAACTAAAATAACAGCATCTAGGTACAATAAGAAATGAAAAAATGAACTAAACTCAAGTTAAATTTAAATTATCAACATTGTTATAGTAATAAGTGGAAAAGATTAGCTAACCCATCTATTGCACTTCTAAGATACAGAAATGAATATTTTCTTTTCAATTCTTTCCAAATTCTTTTGAGGCTACCTGTATTGATAATTTAATTTAATAAAGTTTATGAAAAAATGAACTAGGAATTTATTCAGTAAAAAATATTTTTAAAATGTCTATTAAACATATTCCTCAGCTCTAAATGATCTTGTTTTATGCCTACAGACCTCCACAAAGCAAACGATAGATTATTAAATGTTCTTAGAAAAACTAAATGTAACTTAAAACAATGTCAATAATTTCCCTTTTGAATCCATTGTATGTGGAGATTTTAACATTGGATTTTTTGACATTCTGTGAGAAAGAGATGAATCTCCATTGAATTAAAACTTCTTAGTTATTACAATAAATGTACTGCCATGGATTACAGTTAATTCCCGGAAGTCAATTAATCAAATAACACTAAACAAAAACCCATTACTTGGTATGGAATTGCAGCTAAAGACTTAGAATCCAGGACCACAAGAAACAAATTTGCACTATTAAATAAAGTGCAACTTATTTTAACTTAACACTTACCAAATAAGGGAAAGTTGATACATGAAAAAGATTGTTAACTAAAAGTAAAATAAAACTACTCATAGTGTACTTGTTGCAGGAATTATGGGATGGTGGGTACAATATATATAATTCATAGTTATCAATTGCTTTCATTTTACTTGAACATGTGCATTCGTCATTAAGAGAAAATTGAGACGTGTCATGAAAAAACAATTCTTGTGTTACAGGCACTAGAATAGCATGTGCAATCAAACAATCTTTTTTTTCTATGCATCATAGAGTATCTAATGATTTACACCTCTACTTCCAAAAATACAACCTCTGTTAAGTCATAAGGGAGGCTAAATATTTTGAATGAAATTACAAAATGAAAGCATTGGGGAATATACTAAAAAATATGATATCACCTAGAAACCTTGTAGGGAATAGGTCTTGAATTCATAACCACTCTATTAATTGTAGGAATAGTTTATGGTTGTTTTTCATTAAATGAAAAACTCCTAGATGGCCAACGTTTCAGAACTTGGAGAGGAGATATTATAGTGTGTCTCATCCGGTATGTTGAGATTGATAGTATCAACAATTTATTGATCTATAAAATGTTGCAATATATGTAGCAAAAGAGCCATACCATTGTTTAATAATTCAGATGAATACTGCACAAAATTTAAGAGTTTCTAATCGGATCTTTTAGGAATATTTTTTCACAAGTTTTGGAATTGGCAACGAATGAACTACATAATTGGAGCAATAATCTCTCAAATCTATCCTAGGTAGGAATTTAAATTCACTGCTTACACATGTTAGGTAAGCTGAATTCAAATTTTACATTTTATACTCTTTATGAGCCTTCATTTTTAAAATAATTGATGTTTCTAATTCATCATAGTACCAAACACAACATTTTGACTTGTCTAACCTTCTTTTTGGAAAAAGGACTAGATTCATGAATGAAGGTTACAACAGGTAACGTTTTTATCATTAACATATGGAGTATCTTTTGGAGAAATATATGAAGGAAGTTTTTCTAAGCAAACTGTGATTTTATACTCGTAGTAATCATCTGCATTAATGCCATACACCCACTTTCTTCATTATAATCAATATCTTTTGTTAACAGTGTTATCACAAATATCACTCAGTACATGTAACAAAGCATGGTAAACAACCCTCTGTTTAATTGTATCGGTTACAGTACACAATGCATGAAACATACTCGAAAAGTCCAGATCAAGACTTCTCCCATGGACGTTCGATGTTGTTTTGTACTGATAAAGATTTAAGAAAATTATTGTTTTGTAGAATAAGTTCTATATTCTATGTCTAAAGAGATGTATCATTATTATTAATGGAAATTCTTCAATGCATACAAATTTTTTTGCTGACTTTTTTTAAAAACTATGTGATAATTGTCTGTTAATTTAAAAATTTGTCATAAGACATGGTTTCAGTCATTTCTCATCTTTAGGTCCCACATTTCTAATGAAGACTTGTTATTCATAGGAAGAAGTTGAATCCAGTGCAATCCCATGCTCAGTAAAAAACGAACACGATTCAGACGAAGTAAGTACAGCTATTTAGTTGAAAAGCGCGAGAAGGTAAAAACAAATAAATGTATCAACAAAATGCACTTAGCAATATTTGTAAATTATTAATTTTCTCTCCTGAGAAATAGAAAACGTTTTAGCATCAGTAAACTAACCACAGATATGATTTTAAGATATTGCTAACAAACACTTCACCCACATATATTCTTCATGTCTTCCTGGCTGATGGGCCGTGGTCCAATTGGCTCTGGGATGCCAAACGTTTCGCCCACGACTGCGGTGGGCATCTTCAGTGGCGAGGTCTCGGGCGAAGTGTCCGGGACGGTGGCTGCGGTCAGTCTGCGGTTGGACCACGGCCCATCAGCCCGGAAGACATGAAGAATATTGACTCCGGCCGTGAAACCCTACAATGCTGTATACTTCACCCACAGTCCGAGCTCTACTCTTATGAAATCTAACAGAGGGAGTGCTCAACAAAACTTGAGGGGATTGTATTTGTTGCACGATGTTTAGTAATTCCTTTGTACCTTCGTTTATCAGAGATGATGTTCCAATTTCATAGCGATCATCATGGCCACATGTAGGTCATAAAGTAGATATCGACACTCTGTGTCTTTGTGGAAGAACAGGATGTTGTTCTAGTCTCAAAGTTTAAAAGGGTGGGCCCTGAGTGGTTGTGAACTACTTGTGTATTCAATAAGAAAGAGTTCTGATGATGTGATGTGTTTGTGGTGATCAGTCTAATATAAAAGTACTGAAATGTGTTGTGTAAAGAAATAGAGGTAAATTTGTGGAGTTTGAAATGTGGTATCATATGTCAAAAACTATAGACATTACGTACAAGCACTGCATACCCTTGGAACTCTTCCTCTCTGTGTGTGGCGCTGCCAGATCTGAGGTTTTTTTAATAGAGTGCATTTAGTCATAGTGCAGTCAACAAGTCATTTTGCCTTGCGAAAGGTGAGGTAGAAGATTTTATATTGTTATTAGTAAGAAGGATTCCATAAGTGTGGAAAATGCTTGGCAAGGAATGTAGATGCCACAAATCTATTTCACTTGATTCGTTTTTTAACAATTTTCTCAGAATAATTAGACATTTATCTTGACACTGAAAATAAAATATTTTAATGATGAAACATTTTGATAAAATGTTTCAGCGTTTCTGAAAATGCTCATTTTCACCCAAAACGTTGGAGTTTACGAGAAATGTAAGAAATGATTTGAAGTAATTGTATTCACAATAACATTTTCACCCAAAAAAGGAGTTATCGAGAAATATAAGAAATGATTTGAAGTAATTGTACTCACAATAACAATGTTTACAAATCATTGTTATTATAAAAAGAATTCGTCAAATACTTTATTTTGTCCATTTAGTCCAACCGTACCAAAAAATAAAGAAAAAGATTGGAACAGTTTTTGAGAAAATGGCGGTTGAGCGTTCCTGAAAATGCCCAATTTTGAGCTAATTTTCACAAAATTGAGTAGTTTTTGAAAAACATCAGACATTTTAAGCACGTTTCACACAACACAGATCAAAATCCAGTTGCATGCACTTCTGTAGAAAAATCTCCTCCATAATCATCGTGATCTTTTTTGGGAGGGTCATCAACTTCCGTTGGTCGAATCTGCCACTTTCCTTGGCCTGACATTTGACAAGAAAGTATCAGCTATAAACACGCTTCTTTGTACTTATTAATAGCTCCTTATTTAGTCATTTGTTAGTTGTTTTTTTTTTTTACATTTCCTCTTTAGGTTTCATATTTATTTGTTTTATTGTGCAGGAGTTGGAGCGTCCAGTGTGTGTGTTCCTTAGGCAGGATGAGGGCCGTGAAAGACTTTGCAGTGTCGAAGAGAAGGTAAGAATATTATAACAAAGGGGAAAAACACATGTATGAACACTAAGGCCTCTTACATTCCATGTTTTAATTAAGACTTGTACCATTTTCTTTGCAAGTTAATTATGTTGATCCATGTCCTTCAGATGTAAACATTCCATACGAACAAAAATAGTTATAAGCAACACAACTAACGAAGAAGTTTCCAACTTCCAATATTTAGGATACAACGGAACGTATCTTAATGACATCCATGCTCAACAAAAAATATATACATTTCAGGCTACCTGCGACTGTGAAAAGCTGGCCGCTAGCCGACGGTTGGATCTCGCCCTACAGAGGGGAAAGATCACCGCCACCTCCTGAGAAAAAATTGCACTACACGTACGGGAATTATGACCAGCCGTTTACACGCCCGGAATTACTTACATTCAATCAATCTTAATGACATGTAAGTTCCACAAATAATATAGCAATTTCAGGCTACCTGCGACACGATCAAAAGAACATCGGAAAGAAAAGAAGCACGAAAAAAACCAAACTTAAGCTTTACTAAACAATGGCCATAGCTCCTCTCCTGTATGAAATATATCGAAACATGGTAACATCCGGGGAAAACAGGCGAATGAAGGCACAAGGAATGCGATTCCTGTGGTAAGTTCACGGCCGTATTAGAAATGAGGTGTAAAAGGAGAATTGGGAATTACCACCTTACAAGAAACGATAAATATAGAAAATCGATAGACTAGAAAGAATGAACAATGTGTGATTACCCAAGCAGGCCTATTACCATCTCCCGAAAGGAAAAAGATACGTAGGAAGATCAAAGAAGAGATGGATGGAACAGGTTCATTAGCCTAATCCATGCAGCTGCTCCTGCTAATGATCGAAAAAGAAAAAACGATGACTCCAAATCTTTAGCATTGTGATTTACGCCCACTCTCTCTCGAAAATGTTTATCAATTCGATCCTTTTCAACGACAAGGTTCCAACGAACATTTCAGTCTTTGGAGATAATTGATACTAAGAGTTGCAATTGCTCGTTAATTCAAACCTCTCTCTACTCCAGAAGTGATTTTTGCAGCAGCCTTTTGCCTTGATTGCAGCATGAGTTGGAGCTACTCGTAGCAGAAGTGAGACAGAATCTGCTGACACCAACAATTAATTGTCCTCGACTTTGTTGGACTCCCCCCCCCCATTCCAAATGATCGAATTTATGCAAATTTGGATAAAGTTAATGGGTGAAAGTCGCATTGTTTGTTGTTTTCTTCCCAAACATTATTATGAGTTGTACGATTTGTATAATGTGTTCTAATAAGTATTGTCATAAGCACCAAAAATGTTTTAAATAAAGTCACCTGAAGACGGTGTCGTGGGCAACCTCGGCGCCTTGCATTTAATTCGCGTGATGTCACAGCTGGCCTGGTGGTGCCGCCCTCCAGGAGCGGAGAACGAAACACGTCCCCTCCATTGATATGCAACTGTTGAGTGCCCTGAAGTGATAGCGAACGTCTTTTGTTGCAGGATCCTCTTGGTTTGTGCTGTGAAGAGTCTTCCATCAAACGGGAGGATGCTTCATGGTCCTCAGGTGAGTCTGGAAAATGTTTCGTTTATTTTGCAAGGCCAAAGAACAGGCGTGCGCCTCGTAACAAAGAGCGGGGCATTACATTTCTAGGCCCGTTAATCCAATTTTCAGCCAGAAGTTTTGAAATTATTTCTGTGCCATCTGGAAAGGGGGCGCCTCCAACGTGACACATTTCTTGGCGGAATTTTGAACATTTTTCGACATTTTTGCCGTTTTCGGCAAATTGTAGATGTTTGGCGATTTTTAAGGATTTCTATGGGTAGTCGAGTCTTAAGTTGCCGAATATCAGTGGTGGGTTCCAAAGTTGCTTCTCGTTTAGTCCCGGAGTTGCCCGATACTGTACGTTCTCTTTGTGCAAACTCCGGTTCCAGTTTTTCGTAATTGTAGAAAGTTCAAAATTTCTTCGCGAAGTTTGTACCGGAGTTTTTATTTATGATTTGATACAATTGAATGGTTAATGCACCCATAAATGTATAATTGCTGGTTAGGGAAAGACTTCCCGGGGAATCACTGGATTTAACGCCGCGTCGAGGGAACGTGCCTGAGCGACCCTCCGGACTCAACACAGCGTTTGGATGCGCGCTTTAGAAACAGTTCATAGCAGGAAACGAGCTTTCGAATTATTTTATGTGTGGCTATATAACATTTATGATGCAAGTGGTATAAGTAACCTTTAGTTTACGAGTAGGAAAAGATTCGACACGAAGCCGATAGGACTCGTGGCGCAATCTTCCGAGCAAAAACAAGTGACTTTACCGCGTGTATCATAAACCATTTTTTACATACTCTCCTTTATGATGGTACTTCTTCAGAAGATAGTTATGTAATCGTGCGCCTGAAAACGGTTCATTATCGACAGAAAAACACATATTGACGGACCGTTGTAACAAAATAACAGTGGTCATAATGAACTGCGTGTAGATTAAATTCGCTCATTTATTAATTTAATTTAATCGTTGAGGTACTATCCTCTTCAGGTGGCTGCGTGGATCCTAATATATACCAGAATTGTGCCGTAGACTACATGGTCGGCAATCTACATGGAGTCATACATGACTTTTTAATTGTATACTATTTTTTCTCATTTAACCCAAAACAGTTTATAATAAGTAGTAATAGTAGAACCGTGTTTAAATGCATTAGAAATTTTATTTTCGACTCAATTATCCAAAGAAATGTACCATACTCCAGATGAAGAAATGACAAGCGTCGTAACCACGTCATGAATCCAGTGTTTCGAATTGCACATCAGAACACACTGCATCCGACTCTTTCCCACCAAGTGCAGTGTCGCCAACCTGATGCGCAGATATTGTGCAGATCTCTGATCATGTCGCCAAACTCTTCGCCCCCCGCAAGAGAGGTGGACCCGATAAGTATTACACAGGCAATTCCAGTCATTTCTGTCACCCGCTCCATGAATATTTGTGAGACAAAACAAAGTTAGCTTGAAATTTTAAAAAAGTTTATTTATAACGGTAGAACTCCTTCGGAGGTCATCCAATCAATATGTGGCATTGCTTTGGATAAATTGAGTAGAATAATTATATCCAACTTATTAATATTTAATTAATAAATGTTAGCAATGGGGCGGAGCGTGGCTCTCGTAGATACGGCCCTGCCCCCCAAAAGAGATAGATAACCTTTGTCAACGCGAGGCACGTTAACCACGCGTTGTTTAAGTGTAGGCGTTGACTATGTATCTTTACGCGTAGACCCACTTCACAGATACATATACGCGAAATGTTTGAGAATATAAAAAAGAGATGCAATCGTTTCTCATTTCCGGAGATGCGGTTTCTTGCCATTAAACCAGAAATTGATGTAGCTTCTGTGGAATAGCGAGGGTGTAGTGACCAATGGGAAGTAATTTTGTGTTCGTGCAGGCGCGGAGGCCGAGGGGAAGCGGAACGCCGACGGGCCGCGGCGGAGGAGACCGCAGAAGAAGACTTGCGCTTCGCCCTCGGGGCTGCAGATGCACGCGGGCCTTCTGGAGAGACAAGCCCCCAAGGAGCGCCCTGCCGCCCTCACTTCGTCCGAAGGCCTCCAACTTCCCACGCACGCGCCCACGGGAGACACGCCGAAGTCAAAGCTCCTCATTCACAGCCGCACTCGTGCGGGAGATCGACAGTACAGCTGCAGCGTGTGCTCTAAGGCATTCAGCCATAAATCAACTCTCTACACACATTTGCGGACGCACACGGGAGAACCCCAGCACAGTTGCAGCGTGTGCGGGAAGGCATTCAATAGAAAACACCACCTCGCCTCTCACATGCTCACGCACACGGGAGAACGCCCGCACAGTTGCAGTGTGTGCGGGAAGGCATGCAGCCAGAAATCAAACCTCATCACTCATATGCGCATGCACACGGGAGAACGCCCGTACAGTTGCAGCGTGTGCGGGAAGTCGTTCAGAGAAAAATCAACACTCACATATCATATGCGCACGCACACGGGAGAACGCCCGCACAGTTGCAGTGTGTGCGGGAAGGCATTCAGCGAACAATCAACACTCACATCTCATATGCGCACGCACACGGGAGAACGTCCGTACAGTTGCAGCGTGTGCGGGAAAGCGTTCAGGGATACATCAACCTTCGCATCTCATATGCGCACGCACACGGGAAAACGCCCACACAGTTGCAGCGTGTGCGGGAAGTCGTTCAGAGAAAAATCAACACTCACATCTCATATGCGCACGCACACGGGAGAACGCCCGCACAGTTGCAGTGTGTGCGGGAAGGCGTTCAGCGAACAATCAACACTCACATCTCATATGCGCACGCACACGGGAGAACGTCCGTACAGTTGCAGCGTGTGCGGGAAAGCTTTCAGGTTTACATCAACCCTCGCAACTCATATGCGCACGCACACGGGAGAACGCCCGCACAGTTGCAGCGTGTGCGGGAAGGCGTTCAGCAGAAAATCATCACTCACATCTCATGTGCGCACGCACACGGGAGAACGCCCACACAGTTGCAGCGTGTGCAGTAAAGCATTCAGCCAAAAACAACACCTCGCCTCTCACATGCGCATGCACACGGGACAACGCCCGCACAGCTGCAGCGTGTGCGGTAAAGCATTCAGCAAAAAACTCAACCTCGCCTCTCACATGCGCACGCACACGGGAGAACGCCCGCACAGTTGCAGCGTGTGCGGGAAGGCGTTCAGCGAAAAATTAACACTCACATCTCATATGCGCATTCACACGGGAGAACGCCCACACAGTTGCAGCGTGTGCGGGAAGGCGTTCAGAGAAAAATCAACACTCACATGTCATATGCGCACTCACACGGGAGAACGCCCATACAGTTGCAGCGTGTGCGGGAAGGCATTCAACGCAAAATCAACACTCAGATCTCATATGCGCAGGCACAGATAGATCTGCCACTGTCAAAGACAGTACGTTGCGATGAGTGCAATGTGGCTGTTACTAATTAAGATTCTCTAGCGGTCAGGTTCCATTTGTCACAAGTGCGATCATACCTATTATGTAGTGCTCTGCATTTTCTCAAGGAGATTTTTATTATTCTCAATACAGTGCATTATGTGTCCATTTCCAAGTCAGCAGAAATTGGGTACTTTTATTACTCCTACCATTAAAATATAATAATTCATGTGTAGCTTGTTAGATCCTAGCAGTTGGCTTTACATATTGTTTTACTTGAAAATGTAATCCTCCAGAACACATGCCACAATGTGACTGGGCAATGTAAACGCCAATAATTAATAGGAGATTCAATTCTAAGTAAGTGAAGGTAATTTTGGTCAAGGAGGTGAAAAAAAATGACATTTCATATACACAATATTCATTTCTGACTTGTAATGTAACCACCGACTCACCCGATTACCTGATATCCGTCGGCGATTCTGCTTTGCCCGGCTGCTTCGTCGGCAGACTCCCTAGAGGAAGGCATGTGTGATTGCCCAACTACTGGATAGAAAGACTGAGGCATTTTCTTAATATTACTTTAATCAATATTGGATTCAGTGCGGGTGAAGCCCAATGCCAGAACAAAACTTATAATTAACTTACAACTAATCTTAACTTAAGAAGACCGGCATGGCCAGAGTTCGAAGCAGCTCCGTGGTTTTTCGCCCTTCCGGGCGGTCGTGACCCAGCTTACAGGGGCGGCGTTCGGGCTTCCCAGCGCCCGGCAGGTCTGGCGGCGGGCAGCCACAGTAGGTACTTGCCCCAGGCTCCTTTTGTGGCGACCACTCGGCGGCCCACACTCGCGGGCGGCGGCGGGTCGCTTCGTGGTCGTGTCTAGCACTTTGCCCTTGCAGTCAGGCACTCACATGTGGTGTCCCGGTGCATAGTTCTGCTTCCGCCACGCCCGAGACGGGCTGCGATGATGGCGCGGCATTCGTGGCGACCAGGCACGGCTCCGAATCAAAGTAACAAGTCTACCCGCTCCGCCGGATCCATAAACAAGTGATCGATCGTCCTTCGGCCGTTCCTCAGGAAAAGGTCGCGTGCTGCCTCCCCCGCGTCTCACATCGCAATTGGTCGTCGCGGCCCCCGTGGTTTTTCCGCCCAAAAGACGCCAGCGGCATAGCTGCGTCCCGGCAACTTTCTCCGAAGTAACCTCCGTCATGTAAATTCCAAGAACTGGGCGCGGGTAATTCCGTTGCTCGGGTTTGGGGGTGCGGGAGGCGTATTTCCCCATGCCCCGCGAGTGTGCGGCCGGCGTGGGTTGCGTTGAACAAAGGAGGGGTACTCCTCCGTTCCCTCGGCGCGCTAAGCGGCCTTTACGCAGGCGCGCATCGATCTTAAATTGTTTGGAATAAGGAGAGATATACACGGGCCAATATGAAACTTTGTTACTCATAGTATCTACTTTGCTATGTAATATTTGTACAATCGATGTAACCACATTAAACCACTTATACGAGTACAATATTAGGTCTTGTGCACGTGAAAAGTGAAACCTTAAAAATGTAAATATGTATAGAAAATTGCATACATTTCTGAAGTCAAGAAGTGGAGAAAAATTACTCCTCGGATTAAAAATTAACAGCTCCAGGACGATGAAACTGGTATCTTCCATTTTTTTTTCAAATTCTTATGCATTACACATTTTAGATAATTATCTTGTTCACCAGTATTATGTAAAATACAAAAACTAGAATATGTATCACTAACACCATCAGTATTCTACCATTGGTACATATCACCTGTATGCAAAATAAACTTACCATGCCAATTTTGTATGTTTTTAATTATTTACATTACTAATTCACGTTTGTTCTTTCAATTAGTAACATCATTCGAGTCCAGAATTTTGAACGTACTAGGTAATTGTGAAAATGTACAGGAAAAAATTCACATTTAAACCTCATTTTTTTATTTTTCTTTGCCAAAGTAATAGTGGATATTAAAGCATGTTACATGATACAAGTGTAATCTTTAGCAAGAGCCATTGAATAAAAAGTGTAACTGAATCTATTTCAACTTCATTTAACTCGCAACAGTTTTTGGTATTTCAATTGTAGAGTTCACTTACATTCATGTATTTCTGATGATATATTGATGTACGAAAGCACATCAAGTTACTACATGGAGAGCAGATAAAAACCCAAAGATAGATCATGTACTCAGAATTACGTAATATATGTAAGAGGTGTTTAATGGGTCTTCCCGTTTTGAGCAACAATGACAGTTATATTTTTTTTCTTCTGATAGTCATAATTATAGCATCATACTTTCATTGAAATACTGTGATTCATATATCCATACACACAATGTCCACCCCTGCCTCGATAAGTCACCAGGCGTGTAATGGGGAGTCGCCAGCCGATGCTCTGTGGAGAGCTTGACTTACCTGAGGGACGTGGTTTCTTTGTGGTGTGCGAAGGGGGAAATTCCAGAAGGCACAAGTCAAATGAACGGTGCTCTTGTATTCAAGCAAAAACAAAACAAAATACAGTTTAGATAGTTTCAATTTACTTAGGAACATATCCGCGGACAGCTCTTAAACTGAGCTCTTTGAACTGTTTATTACCACACTTTTGTTATTTTACAAAATATCTACGTCCTCTGATAGATATCGGCAAAGAGAGCTAAAGTTTTCGACATGTTGTTCACGAATGTGAGAAGCGTGACAAATCCAGTGTTAAGTATCTAACAGTAGTAGTTAAACATCTTCCCATTCGAACCTTGGTTTTCCAAGCTACCATCCTTGTGTCTATATACGAATCTATTGACTCCTATTTACAAGACGTCCATGCGGAACACCATTAACAGCTGTGGCGAAATCTATTGCTATCGCCTCCACCCTCCCACACTTTTCAATATCGGCGGACCTGCTGACGTTGATACATTTCTTGCCGTCCCATTCTTTCTGAAAGTTTGTTTAGTACAGGGTGCGCCAGAGAAACTTACTTATTTGAAAGGTCAATAAAAACAAAAGTACTTCACTTATTGTTTTAATTTTTTTTATTTGAGAATACAATATCCCAATTTTTTTTCATGCAGTCTTGAAAATGACACGATAAAATGGCGACCTCCATTGCGCATACCCACTGATGAAGTGCGATTTTTGAAATTCGTATCCACTCTGCAGCATATCAATCGGTATGTTGCGAATGGCGTCGCTCTGTTGTTCATTGGTGTGCTATTGGTCCGTGTCGATCGACATAAACCAGAGGGATTTCAATAACCCCATAAAAGAGAAATCGCATGGAGTCAAATACTGGAGAGCGTGCCGGCCATTGGAGATCGCCTCTGAGAGAGATGAAGGCGGCTGGGAAATGTCGCAACAAATTCATTGTGTCTCGTCTGTGGCTCCATCTTGCTGAAACCACACGTTCCTAACGTTCATTTCTTCGAGTCTTGGAAGAAAAAATTTCTCGATCATGTTCTGTAACGGAGCTCATTCACTGTAAACTGCGCGTTCGTTTTTCTTCAAAAAAATAAGGACCAATTATTCCCATTACCGACCATCGCACACCAGACAGTAACTCGCTCACAATTAAGTGGCTCTGTGAAGCTCACGCGATTTACACTCCTACCTCTATATTTATCGCATGTGTTTGCTTCGATGGACGCAGCCGGAAATGTTGGAACGTGAACCTCGTCACTGAAAAAAACGACCGCGTCTTCAGGCAGGTTGTCAATCAGCATTTCACATGCATTTTGACGGGCAACAAAATGCGCTTCAGTTAATTCTTGCACAACAACGCAGTTTGTGGGATGAAATTGAAGGTCTTCATGCAGAGATTCGTCGAACAGTATCATCAAAACCTTCCATAGCGCAGCTGCGTGTTGCGAGCCGAACGTCGGGGAGACGCAACAACTGACGTGCCTCACTCTTCGATATGTTCTAATGCTCTAATTGTTTCTAAAAGCGGTTCTAATGCTCCGTTGAAGTCCATTTCTGTTTTTTTTAGTTTCACGACACTTCCACACCCCGAAATGAAGTAACCCACACAAATCATATATCCCGGAACGAGATCGTGTGAGGAGGAATTTCAAAGCGACGCGCGGAAGGCACGTGCGTAGCACAAGTGAGCGACGTTAGAAAAGAAAGCTCTCGACTGCGAGAGGCCCGCTGCTCTCTAGTCCACAGCATGATGGCAACTGACTGGAAGGAGACAAACCATGGAACTTCCCCTCAAGATACGCTTTTCTCTTATTCTCGCCCCCTATATCCTCTCTTATATCTCTACCGGCTGGGAATTTTTTCAAATAAGTAAGTTTCTCTGGCGCAGCCTGTAAAAACGTGTAATTTGTGAAAAAGTAATAATTTATGTTTTCCTAATTTATAAAGCTGCATATCAGTTGCTCAAATGTTTTAATTGTTTTGATGGATTTTAGAACATACTAAATGTACCGAGGTGGCTAAATTATTAGTGTTTTGCTTTTTCAGAAACTACAAATATAGTACAAAGGAAGTGCAGGAAAAACGTCTACATTTCGACAAAAAAAGTAGTATTCGTCCCTAATACCTACAAAGTGAATAAATCTTATAGGCAGAAAAATTGGTTTACAGGAAAACGTCTTTATATGATAGACACTAGCGCTAGAATTGTTAGGCCGATGTTGTCCAAAATTGCCAATCTACGATTGATTCGGCCGAGGTCGCTGCCTTGCAAATTTGAAATAACATTTCATTTTTGAGTGGGAAATTTGTTTACAGAAAAGTGTTCGTATTTTCAAAATTTACTCAAAAGTGGTTCCAAAAAGGGTAATGGAATAAGATAGGCAAAATTTCCCCTAGTGATAAAAATTATTAATGTTGAAAATCGTTTTCGAAATGTTAAAAAAGCACGTTTTTCGCCGGATTTAAATCAGTACACACACACAGTACCTCGCATGAATAAAAAACGTGTTTTTTTTGTTGGATATTTTGTTTCAATTTGTTGAACCACAATTTCGACTATGAATATTGTTGTAATCGTCTTTGCGCACTTCTATTGATGTTTCGAGGATTTTTTCAGGCTTTTGTATTCGATCTTGCCTCTTGCGATCATCAAAAAAAGGAAAAAGAATAGTGGATATACAGAATGGCACACACTTTCTCTTACTAGATATCTAATTTATTTTCTCTAGGTTTCGGGTCTTTTAGGTCTTACCACATACAGTAAAAGAGGGTAAAATCGATCGCATACCATTTTTTCAGAATTTTACGTATTATAGTTATAATTTCGAATTGTTGGCAATACTGAACGCATGTGAATCGTTCTCGGAAATTGGCGGGTTCAAATTGAATCGATTTTACTTTCTCAACCTTACTTTGTAAGAAGAAAAAGTGGTAAATGTTAAATAGTATATCCTTTTTGATTTTAAACTCCTACCTTCTTTAGTTGGGCAACTTTACATTGCAGCTGATCCTTTCTTACAAGATCTGTAAAGGAAAATGAAGTTATGGCTGTAACATGCTGAGGAGAAATATACATTCCTTAAATTAAAGACAGGTAATCTTCTACAAACAAATAAATACCTTTGGCAGAAGTTACTCTTCCGTTACTCTTATGGAATTGTGGATGACGCTTCCTGTCATGTTGGTGTTGCAATCAGAATTATATATTTTTCTGTAACGTTTAGATTAATTAAAATAAATACATATAATATAAAATCTGAAAACCATCCTTAAACAGCACAGAATTTTCAATTTTTTTTTGACGAACCTTTTCACTTAACGGAGTGGCAATTTGAGGTCTCTCAGGAACTGGTTTTCTTTTCTGAAGGAAAAAAATGTTCTTCATTGATGCAGTGTAAGTAGGTTCAGAAATATATTGTATTCCTGATATTAATTATACCTCTTTCGATGTCAATTGCATATTTTCTGGGTATGCAGAAAATAAATTTGGAATTGTTCCATTTCTTAATCAAGGTCCGCTTGTATGTGTTGAATTTATTTTATCTGCACTGAAGTGAAGGCTGCATAAAAATTAATATGAAGTTGGAATCCATTTTTCCTTCATCTCAGCTCTAATCCAAGCTTCCCTTCTTTCTTGAAATTTCTCTCTGGGAAATCTAAAATGAAAGTCGTAAACAATTTTGCAACCAATAATGATCTCATTGTTATAAATTATACCGATGTAAATAAATAAAATGGTTCTATAATTCTAATCATCAAACCGAAGAGTACGTAAATGAAGTCATTTACCTAAAGAAAGACATTTTTACGCTGTTTCCTGCTAGTGCAGCCATAAGCCGTGCAGGTTACCAGTTTATCACACTCGAAGCGAGTCTTAACGATAACTGCAGTTTCACAACATTGATGCGCGACTTTTCAGTTCGCGGCGTTTCCTGGAGGGACCTTGCTCGCAAATGAGGCTCTTGTCAGATCTTCCAAAAATGCTCACTTTTGTGAATGTCTTGCAATTCCAGTCCACGTGGAAAAGGCGTTATAAGCAGAAATATCCAGAATGATATAAAAGACAACCATTGGTCAACGATGTCTTTCTGAAGCAACTATAAGAATTTCTTAGCATGTATGAAGAAGTCATTCTTGAATGGCCTATTCTTAGTCTGGTTATACACACCTGTTCTCGTCGAGGGTAGCTGACATTTGGTGACCATTTACTGATATTCTGCTTAATGGGGTGTAGTTTCGTGTGAAGACTGTTCCACGTGGTCTGCCATCCTGTGAGGATGCACTTCGAGGCAGCATTTCTTGCATCTTGAGGTCGTATTTCGATATCCATTTCTGATTGGATGTTCACGGCATTTCGTGCTGCAGAATCGGCTTCTTCATTGCCTAGAATACCCACGTGTCCAGGGCACCAGATGAACGTAACTGATGCTTCTCGCTGCTCTAATGTATGGCATGATATGAGAATCATTTGTAGCAGTGAGTCTACAGTTTGGCGTCTGTCTATTTGCAGTGAGAAGACTTAGCGAGTCTGTGCAGATGACAAATTTTCTTGAATTGAGAGTTTCACAGTGTCGCAAAGATTGCAATAATGCTTACAATTCGACCGTG